TGTGTNTNTGTGTGTGTGTGTGTAGTAGTAGTGTGTGTGTGTTNTTGTGTGTATATATATGTNTATTATATATATATATATAATATATATATATATATATATACGTATGTATGTATGTATATATATACATACATACATACATACATGCATACATACATAATATATATATATATATGCGTCTGTGTGTGTGTATCTGCCTATTTTGTGTGTGAATGTGTTAATGTATATGTACTTTTGTACATTTATGCTTGTGTGTGTATATGTGTATGTGTGTGTGTGTAAGTGTATGTGTATGTGTATGTGCATGTGTATGTATGTGTGTGTGTGTGTGTGTGTGTATATACATATATATATATATATATATATATGTGTGTGTGTGTATGTATATACATATATATATATATATATGTGTGTGTGTGTGTGTATGTGTGTGTGTATGTTTTTGTGTGTATGTATGTCTGTGTGTGCATATACGTTTGTATGCACTCTCGTACACGGTTTAAAATTTTATCAGCACGCAGAGCACGCAAAAAAGTTTTTGTTAGTTGATCTATTGATGACAAAACAACATTGAGATGCAGTACAAGTCAGAAACAATATCAGCGCAATTGAAATTTTTACCCGTGGACTTCGCGAAGCAATTTCTTTTTATCCGAGTCTCTGGGTGCTTCCGGTTCTCTGCTTGTGACTTTGTAAATCAGCTCCTCGGTGGGATTCTCCGCACCCATAGTGTCTGCGAACTTTTCTAACTTTGAGGCTAGGAAATCACCAAGGCCTATCTCAACTTGACCTTGGTTATGAGAGGTACCTATACTTGCCGAGTAGGCCGCCATATTGACACTTCCTGTTGGTCTTGCTATATACTACCACAGTTACAAGTGATGATGATATAAGGACTTCAGAGTATCAAAAGTATCGCAAGTTGCTCACGTGGAATGAAAATCGTTCAAAATTGTACCCGCGGGCTGTTATGTACTATTTTTCCGCTATTACGTCTCTGTTGAGTGTATTAATCAGAAATAAACACAAGTGGTAGTATAGCCTCAAATAAATAAAATACTTACAATAATGAGGCTTTTTACTTTATTATATTCAGTTTGTATAGGAAAATTTTATTTATTTCTTGAAGGGATAGGGGAAAGGTCTATTTGAATCTATGACTACTACATATAGAGTCCATATCTGACCTCTGTAGGTCTTTTTTGTTTTTTAAAAAAATATATAAATAAACAAAGCTGTGTACACATATTTATTTATGCACTGATTGGCGATTGCAGTCATCATTCAGTCAAAGAGTAAATATCTAATCTATTGTTGAATTTTAGGAGGCTATATTTACTTACGTACATATTTGTTTTCTTTTTATTGAAAATATAAATATATAAATAGAACATGTCTCCGTCTCTCCGACAAATTTACGCCCTACGGATTACGGACATATTTTAAAAATAGATATAATAGGGACTTCAAACTCAAAGCGTTGAATTTCTTACGTTTATAACGGAATCCCTAATAAGGTCAAAAATCGTGACAAAATTATGTCGGAACTTTTCATGGTCAAGCCCTTCGGACGTTATATCTGTTTGATTCTATTTTTACGTTCTATTCACTGCTACAGAGAGGGTCATGTTTCTTTTTCTTTTTTAACCCCCCTTTTTCATTGCCTTCTGAATCATACACTTTTTTTTGTGTTATATTTTTATATATTTTGTTATGTCCTACAGGATAAGAGGTTCGGTACTATTGGTACCGAACAGCCAACAGATATCGACACTTGAAAACACCTGTCATATCAGAACAACATGTCAGTGAGGTGTCAAGGGGATACAATTCAGGGATCGTATTAGTTCGAGCAAGGAGGGCTACTAGAGGAGTTAGGTCGAGGAAGGAACCAGCAGATGCTGGACTAGTATTTACGGCAAGGAATAGCGAGCTGTGATAGAGGGAGCTGCTGACGTGAGAAATTCAATTATGGACGGTGTAGGAGGGAACCTCGTAGGGAGAGAATGTAATGGTTGGTGAACTAGGTGAATGGACTGCAGAGAGAAAGCCGCATAGTGTCAGTATAGAGGCAACGATAGTAGTAGACAAGAGAGAAGGTGATTGTGATTAAAAGAGTGAGCTGGTGGCAGGCTAGGAAGTATTGAGTAATCAAGTGCCCAAGCATGGGGAATATGTTAGAGGAATATATCTGGAATATATCCGGTGGTAACATCGAGCATGTATCCAGTTCACAACTTAGGCCTTGGATGCATGTCGAATAAACTGATCGTACACAAACTATTACTGTGTTACTATCTACAATTCGACTTATCGGGTCAATAGGTTGACTATTATATACAGCAACCTAAATAATCACTATCGCAGAAGGCATTCAATTTTTGCTAGAACTTTTAATTTTCAAAATGAGCGGTTTGTTCAATTCGGGCTTACACGAAAGTGGATCAAAAGCAGACAGCAACAATAATTAGAAACTGGAAAAGCTTGATAGTCATGAAACGTCGTTCTTGTATCGATGGTTTGCTTCCTGAAGGAGGCTAAGGCGACCAAGACATATGATATGGTGTTGAACAGGCCAAGAAAAAGACCTCAGCAGGGGCGAACCAAACTGTGGCACTGTTGATGAGACAAGTAGGGTCGACGGTAGATTATAAGCTAAGATCAAAGATTGCTTGTGAGACTACGGCTATGAGGACGGAACAAAACACCATTCGTACGTTTGGGTCCTGCACAACTATGTTTAATAAGGGTCGGTCATTTCAAGTCCAAGGTTGGGCTACCAGACTTGATGTTGATCAGTATTTTTACCACAAACAATGCCAGAAGTTGGCAAAGAAACTCTTTATTGTAGGAATAAGATCAATCGTGTTACAGTTGTCTATGGAACTCATCGAGGAAGAAGAAAGGGCATTATGTTTGTCGACATATGAGTCAGCATACTATAAGGCGGCGTCTGTTGCTGATGACCATAGCGGTACCTCGTCCAGAAGGCAGCCTTTGTCAGGCGCTGAACCGGCGGCACGCAAAAATGCGGAGAGACTGAATGCTCTGATAGAAGCAAGAGAAGAGGTCAATAATGATATGCCAGTGGGTGCAGCTCAAATCAGCGAGACGGTGTAGAATAAAATCGATGATCTAGACGCAGCTTTGAAACGAGTGACAGCCAACAGTCAACGAATCCTAAAAACCCTAAAACCATATGTGCCTCCGCCATTGAAGACAGACGAGCAGATATACAAAAACATCCAAGACAACAGATTTGTGATGGTATACTCGCCCCAGAAGTGGTTGACTCTGTTGTTAAGCGAGCCTAGGATGAAACAAACCACCTATGTGGTGGTAGGGACCCGTGACAGACAATTAGACAACGCTATAGCGGAGTTTGATATGCTGGTATTATAAATGTTCTCGACAAGTCTAGAAGGTAATGTTTGGAAAACGTTTGTAAATTTCGGTCTATCAAGGCGATATTAACGCCTTAAAATAAGTAAACGCTTAGGTCAAGTCTAACATAATTGAAGTTTAAAAAAATAAATAAACGAAATGAGTCTTTTAGTAAAGTTAGGTATGCCTCGTGAAAACAGCAATACTCTGAAGGATTGTGAGTCTGAGACATTGCCTATATATAATTCTCTCAGTACTGCTTTCGCCGAAAGAATTTTATTCAGTGTTTCGTTGTCGCTCTATTACAAACTATGGTATGTTTCGTTGGGGCGAATCCGAGAGACTCATAAAATCCTATCTTTAGAAAAATGAAACATAAAAAATAAAATATTCTTGATGTCCTTAGTTATTGTCTTAACCAATAACTTGCCACCATCAAGAAGTACCGACTTAGCCTTCATCAGACTAGCACATCTGGTTGGCTGATCGGAGGATCAACTAGGTAACGTTAATAGTCTCTAGAAACCTATATTCGGTTGAGCCATCCCGCTACCGAAGTATTCAGATATAAATAAAGTTGGAAAGTAAATATAGTTATATTAATAGAACAAGACCAACTCTTATGTTTGGTATTTTACTGAGGCCTTCTAATGGTCTCGGCCAAATATCTGATATGTAAAATGGAAAAGGTATTAATTAATAAAACCATTAAACCCCATTTAGGAAACTTAAGTTCCTCGTACTATTAAGAGTACATTCAGGAAACTTAAGTTCCTCGTACTATTAAGAGTATATTTAGGAAACTTAAGTTCCTCGTACTATTAAAAGAACGTTTATAATTTACGTACTGCTTAAGAGTACGTTTATCACATAGAGTCTAATGTGGAGGCCCGGCTTATTACACAGCCCCCACCCAGCGAGAAGCAAGTTGCTCCCTCGAGCTGATTATGGGTCAAAAAGCGAGAAAGAAAAAAGGCGTCGAAAACATTAAATAGCATAACATATAGTTAATGTTTCTCAGGCCGAAAAGTTAAGCGTTCTCGGATACCCTGTGAGTTTTGGGCTTAGGTACAGTAAGTCCGTGATGGTCGACTGGATGTTTCTTACGCTTCAGTTTCTTAAGCACATATGAAGGATGAGCATTAAAGCTCGGGATAAAGGCTGTAGGGGGATAAGTTTTAACTTCCGTGCCTTCAGACGATGGAAACATGCTATCTTTTTCAGCGTGTGACTTATGCAGGCGTTTACGCCATTTTCGATTAAAGGCTTTTAAATAGTCTTGATTATCGAAGCATCTGAAGTTAACTTGGCCTTATTTACCTCGTACGTTCCACTTTTAGTGTCTGCTACAGAGATTATATATGGACCTATTCATTTAGATGTAAATACAGTAGCATCGGAATTATGTTGACGGACGTTAACTCTGTCACCAACCTGATACTCTGCTATCTTCTTGGTAGTTTTCCAACGCTGTTGCCTTTCTAATAAAGCTATATTGCGTATTTCTCGCAAGCAAGGATATACAACGCTATAAATACGTTGTACCTTCTCTAACCATGGTGACTCATGGTGATCAGGTTCGTCCTTGTTGAAGGAGATTTCTAACTCACTATATCTGCCACGAAAATAGTGAGCGGGTGTAGTACCTGTAGCCGGATCAGCACACTCGTTCATCTGTGTTTGTACCCACTTAAGGTGGTACGGCCAATCATCTGGATCATCCGTTAATGCAGTACGCAAGAAGAATTTAAGTCTTCTATTGCGCGTTTCATTCGCGCCTTTCGTTTGCGGTTTATATGGCACACCTCTCTTATGGCATATGCCTGATACGAGTACTAGCGATTCCATTGCGTCGTCGCAGAACTCGCTACCGTTATCAGTGCACATAATACCCGGCCACCCGTGGTCAGCAAAGACTTAGCAACTTAATTCTGCCACGGTCTGCGTATTCTTATCCTTTAATGGATAGAGCAAGTTAAACCGTGACGCCACATCAAAGAAGTGGCATACATAACGGTCGCCTGTGTGCAATCAGATCAATGATGACCCTGCGCCATGGAACATCTTCAATCACACTCTTCTGTACATGACTGATATACTCTGTCAACTAAAGTTGCCAGCTTAGGGTGCGCGATCCCATGTCGCTTAGCATCTTTAAGTGCGTCTACTACGTTCTGGTGCTTCAGCTTATGGTTTTGCGTCAGCCAAGCAAGAATTTTTTTATCATTCTGCTCCTCCAGAATAAAGGTAGGGTGTTGAGAATCCACTTGCGTGGTCTGTCTGTAGTGTTTCCAGATTCCTGTCCTGCTTTCGCATGAGTGTCATAAGTGCGCTCATGTGCATTAGATACACCGATTATTATATATGTATACGCCACAGGATTGTCTTTCATTCATCCCTTCAAAAATAGGGTTTGAAAGACCTCGGGCTTGGACTTTATGTTATTAAACAGAGTCCTAGCTAGAGACTGACGCTTCTTAACAGTGTCATTAGTAGATTGTATTTCTTGTGCACAGACTTCAAGTGCTGTGTTGCCTTTGAACTGCTTAACGTTCAAGAGGGTAGAGAGTGGAATCTCTGATTCTTTGACCTTGTTAAGGAAGGTCTCAGAAGGGGTCTATTTGGTTGTTCCAATGGGACCTATACGACATATTATAGTATGTCTCCAGGGCGTCTTCTGGACGGCTCGGGTAACCTGATATAGGAAAGTATCTACTTCCCTATCTAAATATATTGGCTCGCATTGTATCATGCTTATTAATTTATTGAGCCATGGATCTTTACTCCGTAATGGGCAACACAACGTGATGGTAGCTTTATGTATATGAACATAATTTAATAGCTGGGCAATTAACTGCCATGGTGGATTGGCCCACGCATTATGTTTGGAGAGGTCTATTTGAAAGGCGTCTCCCAAAGGATGATTTAAAGTCCTGTAATTCGATAGTTGTGCATTATGATGTGCAGCAAACATATCTATAGTATGTGGCCCAAATATCTTTTGAGCCAGTTCAAACCACCTGGGATTACACTTCCAGTCAGTGGCTAGTAACTCATGTACGGATTTATTAAAGTCCGGTACGAAGCGTGATAACATATCCGGTAAATGGTTATGTATTCCTGGCAGATGTTTTATATCAAAATGAAACTTTGATATTGTATCATGCCAGCGACTCAGTAACTGTGAGTCGGGCTTCATCTCTTTCATATATTGAAGAGATTTCTGATCACACATCAGCGTAAATGCTGTTCCGTATAAGTAATCTCGGAAGTGTGTTAGAGCTGCCACTATGGCTAATAGCTCTTGTTTAGCAGTTGGATAATTCAACTGTGAAGCATTCATTGCTCGACTAAAGAATTGTATATATCTAGGTTTGTCATCTATAACCTGATATACTACTCCTCCTAAGGCTAAGTCGGAGGCGTCCGTTGCTATTTCAAACGGCACGCCATCGACTGGTCCTTGTACAACTGGGGCTTGCTGGACTGCGTGTTTGAGCGCCTTAAATGCGTCATCACACTCTTTAGTCCACAAGTCTCCTAGTTTGCCTTTATGGCCAAAAGGTTTAAAGTAATCAACCAAGTGTGGTACTCCATCTGAAGAAAAGTTTACAAACCCACACATGCTGTTGACATCTCTTCCTGTAGTTGGTGTTCGCCAATCTAACAGGTGTTCTACCTTACCGGGGTCGATTTTAATACCTTCCCCAGATATTCGGTAGCCTAAGAGCTGTATTTCGCTCATGGCGAAGTGGCATTTCTTCTCGTTAATCTTGAAGTTTTGCTCGTTGAGTCTCTTAAGGACTCGTCTGACTAATGCGGCGTGTTCGCCCTTAGTTTTAGAAAAGATGACTATGTCATCTATATAGACTTGCACGTTAGGCATGTCTGCAAACATTTCTTCCATTACTTGTTGAAAGAATGCTGGTAAAGAGTGTAACCCGAAAGGTGCACCTCTGAACCTGTATTGTTTACCTTTCCACGTAAACTAAAGTATTTACGATGTGGTTCATATACCTGCATTTGATGGTATCCTTGTGTAAGGTCTATAGTTGTAAATACTGTAGCACCTTCCATCCTTCGCAGTAGCTCGTTAATACTAGGTAAGTGAAAGCTATGAGTCGGCAATAATTTATTTATCGGACCAATATCTAAGCATACTCTGACTTTCTTGAACGATCCGTCAGAGTTATGTTGGTCTACGGCTAGCAGTGCCAAGTTAACTGGCGTCTGTTGATAATTAATTTCAATCACTCCATCTGCTAGCCATTTCTCAACTTGTTCTTTTACCACAGCCTCGTGTCTCCAGGATACATAGTTCCTTGACGGACACTTTAACTGTGTAAAGTCCACCTTGGTTAAGTCAAGGCTCACATATCCGTCGTCAAAACCGAATTTTGCCCAATCTGTTATCTTTATCTTCTTATTAACTAGAATCAGATCCATGATTTTGTTTGCAAAGTCAGGTATTATTGCCTTGACTGTGTCTGACGGGGGCTTATATGGATCCAGACAGTTATCGTCTGACTGATCCTTTAATGGATCTATGTTATTTGGTAGACCAGTTACGGTTATACCTAGAGTGAGTAAATCGCTCATTCCGACTATAATGTCGTACTTCTGTGACATCTTAACTATCACAGCTTGGGTAGTGATATTCCTATCATTGGCCAGGGAGATTCTAACATCTGTGGCCATGGTATCACACTTAGCAGTTTTTTCATCAGCTAAAATGAGGTGAGTTGTTTGTGTTCTCCTTTCGATATCTTTCATTAATGCAAAGCGATCGGATATACATGAAATTTCTGAACCAGGATCAATCAACGCAAGGATTTTATTTCCATTGCAGTATACAGGGATTATTACACGCATCTAAAGAGTCGCTGTATTGTCTGTGTAACGATTGTACCTGGTAGTACCTTCACTCCAACTTAATGTCGGGCTTTTTGTCACAAGACTTAATGTGATAGCCATTGGTCTTCTCACACTTGTTGCACTTAATAGGAAAGTGGGTACAGGTGGATGCATGTCTACCATTCCAATAACCGTTAGGGGTTAATTGGTGCGTGTCATACACACACTGTGCGTCGGCACATTTCTTAATCTCCTTAAATAGAGGTTCCTTGTCCTTCGCCTCCGCGCGTGCCCGTTTATTGGGTAGCGTGGATAGAGTGGAGTCGCGAGCACGTGTATGTTGGGGTCTCTCGTTTTAGGTCTGCCTGGATACGTATCCGTGATCGGTGTGCTCCCGCGGCTTCTTAACGGCCACTTTTCCCTTCGATGTTACTTGATGTGCGGGGAAAAGGGTGGATACAGTATCATAAAACTGTTCCCACGTAAGTCAGGATAGATGAAACTTTGTTTCATGTCCCTTGTCTTGAGCCTCAGTCGCGTGTTTACGTCGCAACTCGGTGTACAGGCTCTCACGGTCGTTATTCCCTATGTTCTTACAAAACACGTACATAATCAGGAACTCGTACCATCGCTGTTCCTTGTCCTTTGTTATATCTGGACGTTTCAGGTCAGCATATAGCTTCAGAATATATCTCTGAATGGGCGTGTTCTCAACTGGTTTAGTTAAAACTGAACTCAGTCCAGGGCTACGCATGTCCTTACTTGACAAGCATGTAACTAACCAACACACAGCTGGCCAGTCACGACAAGTGTCTAGCTCATGCTGGTGTCGCTGCAGGATCAAATAACTTGTACCTGTAGGGTCAAGCGTCTGCATTAAAGCAGAGATCCATAGCTGGGGAGCGATATCATTCGTCTCCAGCATGACCGTAAACGCGTTAAGCGTACGAGTTATCGTTCCGAGGTAATGGTTGTTTATGAAATCGACCTGCTTACTGTTGGCATCCCAGTTCGACTTAAGTCGACTGATCTGTCCCTTGTACTTCTGGTTGTCCCTGTGGTCTTGTCTACGTTGGGCCTGAAGTAACTGATCAATGCGTTTTTGCTTAATCGCAATCGTATTCGCAAAGTATGCTGCATCATCAGCATGATGCGCATCGTGGGCGATTTCCATTTTAATGGTATAATCGTCGACCGATTTGTTAAGTTCGGTCACCTCGTCAGAATGAAAATCCCCTGCGGGTTGATGTAGTGCTGTGCGATCGAAGCAATTAAATTCGACTTCGTTAACACGTCTACGGGGGTGTTTATTACCCCTTGTAAAGTCCATGGTCGAGGCCTTTCGGTGCTCTGTTCCTCGGATAAGGGTTGGTATTATAATATTGGGTGATTCATGCGTCTGGATAACATACCCAGTCTTAACTGGTTTTCGACGATTGCCATCCCAATTGGGTAAGAGTGGCGGGGTATTTCTACCTGCCTCTGGGTCTATAATACCCTCCAGGACAGGTGACTCACGGCCGGGTGTCAGAACAAGCGAGTAATCAGCCTGAACTTTTGGCGGTAGTGCTTCGTAAGGTATAGATACGCTGAGCACATCTGGATCATATGCCTCAGGTGTAGCGCTCGAGTCTTTACGTTCTTCGGGCGTAATTGCCTGTCGACGTTCTGTCCACTTCTGTAGGGCTTCAGTAATGCCCGGGGAAACATGCTCGCGTAAGTGCTGTGTATGTTTTCCTGATCTATACAATTGATCTACATGTTCGACAGTCAAGTCTTTCATAATGGTAGCTAACTGATTCTTAAGATCAGCGTTTTCAGTAATTAACTTACTTATGCGCGTTGGCTTAGTAGTCTCGGACGTAGATTCGGGTATGCCACTTGAGCTTGCCTCCTCTTCTGGTTCCATAATAGGTTCCTTTTGAGATTTGTCCTTGCCCCCCATAATTGGGGACTCCCTTATAATTGGGGACTTTCCTTTCTGAGTTTTGTCAGAAGAATGGGTTGGGACGTCTTGAGAC